CTGCAGCTGCTTTCAACCACCCACCCAGCACCCCTGAAACGGGGGGTTCAGCACCAGGACTGATTCATTCCCGAGCTTTTAACGAAGCCGCAGCGAGCCCTCGCGCTGGGAAACCGTTGCAGCATCCCCTCTCCCGGGCAGGGACAGAGCGGTGGGCATCAGCCTCCCCCCCTCGCTGCGGGCTCCCTAAATATTTAATACTTTCTCTGCCCATTAAAGCAACCAAGTAGGAAGAGCAGCAGGAGGAGTTTTTTGGTCTTTGTGCCTAACTTACCTGCCCGACTGGTTTTGGCACCTGTGGAGACTGGTGAGGAGCTGTTACTGGTGTCCCCAGCCAGGGAGGTTCGGCTGGAGTGGAAGTTTGGTCGCTTCAGCTTGCTGCCCGCGGAAGGGGTCACCTTGGGAAGAAGCACACACAGAGCATCTTTTAGGTGTCACCTGGGCTGGAACGGGCCAAGATCACATCCGAGATCAGTACCTCGGCAAAAGGATTTTGACATTTAAGAAACACCCATCTTAATGGTCCAGGAGAACACAAGCTGTCGTTTCAGCAGCGGTTAATAAAAAAAGAAAAAAGCCTGGATCTTGACAATTTGGAGAGCAACAGCAGTTTGTGCGCTGCAGGCTGCTTCCACTATTTGTTGGGGGGGGGGAAAAAAAAGCAAAGCTGCTATCCATCCGGAGGACGACAGCATCATCTGGGCTCAAAAGCTCCACAAAGAGAAAGTGAAATCTTGCAAAAAAAACAAAAACAAAAACCAAAACCACGTATTTTAGCATCTAAGCAGCTCAGGACCATTTTGGAAGGTCAAATACAATGCAGCGTCTTAAGAAACGCATCCCGTTGTCGGGAGGCATCAGCGCGGTGCGATGCTGTGAGGCGGAGGGACGTCGCCCCGGTGCTGGTGCCCCGGGCAGGTCCGTGCACCCACCACCCAAAGTGACAAATTTGAACAGCGAGGCACCAGCGATGAACAGGGACACAAAACACAGCGAAACAGCTTCGGTCGCATCCTGAAACGGTGCTTTCTCTGACCTTTAAGATGTTGCAGATGGGGAAGGGGAGGTGAAAAAGCAACACAACAGGCAGCTCTGCTCCCGCCGCTGCGGAAGAAAGCGAAGGGGTGAAGGGGAAGGTGCCGGGCAGGGTGAGGGCACCTGGATCCAGCTGGAAAGGGCAGCTCCAGTTTCTGTACACCAACCAAAGCTCTGGGTTTGGGGCAGCGCTGCAGGAAAGCACCTGCCCGTGGTGTCCCCTGTCCCCCGGGGCTTGGGGCCGCACCGCTGTGCTGCGGGGACGGCTCCAGCCCAGCTGCATCCCTGGGGAGATGTACATTAGCACCCGAGGGCATTTCCCAAGGAGCTTTAAAGCAAGAGCTGGAGAGGTTTCCTTCCACCCCCTGCGATTTCATGGCTTTGGGGAAACTTAGAAATCTTGAAATGTCATGAAACTGGAGCTGCGGCGGGGGAGAGGGGCAGCCGAGGGAATTAAAATCCATTAACACGTGATTGCGAAGGTACCATTTTCATCATCAGAGATTTCGATTCTCGTCCTTGATCCTATTTTATAAACAAGTTAACAGCAGCAAAGCAGGCAATTTAGGGCAATTGGGGAAGTGCTCCTGACCTTCTGATGATTTAAAAATAATTCCTTTTCTGCGTGAAAGCACCGCCGAGCAAGACGCAGTTATCTTGCCAGCGCACACCAGCACTCAGTGAATCACCGAGATCTACCAGGTATTTCTCATCACCGACTCACAAGGTCAGGAAAGTCCATGAGGAGGCTGAAACTTTAGGGATATCAAAGCCTCAGCCCGAATTCATCCTCCTGGAAGCATCAAGCCGGTGAAGGTACCGGACACACCATACGTGCTTCAACACGGTGATAAATACAAGCGCTTCATAAAAATGAAGGCGACGTGGTTACTGTGCATGCGCTGTAGCTGATTTTCAAGTCTCAACTCGGTTGCTGGATTTCCATTTTTGAAAGCCAAACACGGAAAATGCTTTTTTTTTTTTAAAAGCACAAGAGAACAAACGTCACTCTCTTGGTTTGAAAGCAGGTAAATGTGAATCGCAAACAGTTGTGCTTTATTCTAAAGTCGATGTTTTATTTAATCCGAGTTAGAAATCCATGAAAAACGCTAACAGTCGGAGCGTTAGCGGTGCTAACAAGCGCTGCTCTACCACAAGGAAAGCGTTAAAACAGGCAAGGGAGCAGGACTTCTCCGTGCCAGCGGCACTCCGGCCTGTCAGCAGGTCCTCGGGGCTGCGAGACCATACTCTACCTCGGCGCTCGAGAGCTGGAAGTCGGAATAATCGAATCCCCTCAGGGGGGTGCCCGCTTTACTGTTTATCAACCAGGGTTTGTCATAACATCGAGAGAAGTGATGTGGAGTCTGTGAAATGGAAAATCCAAGGAGGGGGGGGGAGAGGTGGAAGTGAGTGAAAAAAAAAAAAAAAAAAAGGGAACGGAAAAGTATCTGGAATGGGGGGAAACGGCACTAAAATGAAACAAGAACCAAACAGGAAATATATAAATTAAAATGAAGGGAAAAAACCCAAACAGATGATGAAATAAAACACGCATGGGCAGATGATGTCGCGGGAAAGGAGAGACGATGGGCGATGGCTTCTTCCCGTGCGCCGGCCGGACACCACGGCTTCGGCACAGCCCTGCCTCGGGGACCGGGAGCCTTCGGCTGCACGGCGAGAGCCGGGGACCCTTCTGCAGAGCCGTGAGCGCCCAGCTTGGGCTGAAAACCTGTCCTGCACCATCCCACCCCACCCATCCTGCGTGGACAGCGGGGTTCTTCCTGCAGCCACCACGGACATCCTCCAGAGACCACAGTAACCATCAAACCCCTGATGCCCAACCTTCCTCCTCCTCGTCTCACCAGGATGGGTTTGGAGGCCACCAGTTTCTAAAGGAGAGGAAAGAGGAAGGCTTCACGCGCAAACCCCACCTTGGCTCCGCTGGCCGGAGTTGCGGGAGAGGATGGCATGGAGGCACAGCTGTGGTTGCTCTGGCTGGCACTGGAACTGGATCGCGTCGGGGAGGCTGCCCGGGAGGATGGTTTTGATCTTCGGCCTCGGGATCGGAACGGTGTCATTCCTTGGGAGGCTCCCTCCGGCAAGATGAATTTCTCTCGGAGTTCAAGGTTGGTCCGTCCTCGTGCTGGAAGGGGACAAAGGAGAGGAGACCTGAGGTTCGCGTGAACCCGACTTCGTTACCGGGGCTCAGGAGGCTCCGGGGGTCAGAGTACCCATCCTTGCGATGCCTCCCAAAGCCCATCTCCGAGGGTGAGCGGACGGCAGCGAGACCATCCCAGCTCTCTTGCGCTGCCCGAGGCACCTCCTGCCATCCATCAGCTCTTTGAGAAATTCTCTGACTAAAAGCTGCCTGAGGCCCATGAATTCAAACTGGATGCTCTATTATTCTCTAGTGTCTTGGGGAAAGCGATCCTGATGGCCTTTAAACACGGCGTGTTACAACAGCGGCCGATGTAATCTTTACAGTGGCTTAAAAAGAGTAAGAGCAGCTTTGAAGGGCTGCGATTCTGCTCTCTCACAGTTCTGGGCAGCTCTTCACCAATTTTGGGGGAAAGGTAAAAGAGAAGTGACCGTCACTCATTAAAAGCCAACTTTAAAATTTTCATCCAAATGCCCCGAAGAGCTGGAGGGCCTCCCTTCGACAAGCAAGGGGCAACCAAGCAGGGAGAAGGTCTGTGGACTTCAGCTCCTGGGCCAGCTGACACGCGCCAACATATTTCATGCTCACGGTGTTCAAACAGAGAGCAAGGGCGTGCACCGAGCCTTACGGGACACGGCAGCAATTTTAGAGTCGATGCATTATGGACCAGAAAGCCAAGGAAGCAATTGCAGAAGGGAAGCACCACGCTGAGATAACCAAGGGATGGAAATAACCTTGATGTCAGGGCTCTAAAACATCTGCTGCAAAGCATGAACGGGGGAGGCTGGAGGAGCAGGAAAACCCTGAAAGTTCCCCAAAGCAAGCGGCACACGCTGTAAATCATCCTGCTTTCAGCAACAGCCGTTAGACAGCAGGAGGAAGGAATGGTTAGGCAGCAGCTTGAAGAAGACATATCTGAAGCAATTAACATCTCAGACACCCCAGTGAGACAGGGACATATGGAGTACAGACCTAAGCTCTCCAAAATACGCAGCCTCGATGCACTTCATTCCTGGCCATTCCCCTTGCTAATCACAGACTCATAGAATAGTTTGGCTTGGAAGGGACC